GTTTGGATCCATGGTTTGGATCGTTTGGCCATCGATCAATCCAACACCCTCTTCCGCTCAGTGTCTCTGAGCTCTGTCTCTAGTAGTCGCCGGCGTCGTCGAAAGCGTTGTCATGTCACTGGCCTTCTCGGACTCGGGCGTCGTCATCAGTGATGACGACGACGATCGTCATCGTAGCGGTGACACCACATCGCACGTCTGCGAGGAAAAGTAGCTAGCTGGTGGCGTGCGCATCTTGCCGCTGCGTTGTTTACTTGGGTTTTGTATGGTCCCTCGGTGGGGATGGTGGCGCATTTGTATTTTCCTATCACATAAAATGACATTCCAGCGCAAAATAAAATGACGTGGTACTGAAACGCCTGTCCTGTCGCCCGCGACGCGATTAAAAAGAGTAGATACTCGAGTCGAAGGGTTCTATATTATTTCGCTAACCCTAATCGCCGTTGAAGTGGGCCACTCGACTTGCGCATCGTCGGTCCAGTCACTTTCACAAACGCCGTCTTCGAGAACCTCCATGACCACTGACCACTGCGCCAAGCGCCCGAAGCTCTCGGAGTCGACGCCGAGTGACGAGTCGACGATGCACCGAGGTCACGCCGAGAACGCGGCGGCTGTCCCGCCGATGCAAATCGACTGGCTGACCACGATGGAGAAGATGCGCGCGTGGCGACAGCAGCTCGTGCGCTGGCTTCATCAGTTCGACCTGATGATTACCGATATGGAGAAGCTGGTCTTCTGCCCGAAGCTCTCGGAGTCGACAGCGAGCGACGAGTCGACGATGCACCGAGGTCACACCGAGAACGCGGCGGCTGTACTGCCGATGCAAAGCGACGGGCCGGCCACGATGGAGAAGCTGCGCGCGTGGCGACAGAAGCTCGTGAGCTGGCATATTTTGATCGAGCCGAGCATAACCGCTGTGGAGGACCTGGTCAATGAGGGCATCGAAGGCCCCCAGGACATTCCCGCGATCCAAGACATGTTCGCACTCATGGCGTGGTCCTGTGCAGATTTCTCGGCGTGGTTTGACGTGCTCGTGAACTACGTCATGGCGATGGTGCCGAAGACAGCGATCTTTACGGTGCGTGTGTAATCCTCGTATACGATCTCAATGGCTTATGCACCGCCTGTAGGCGCGCTACTCGTATCCGACGGCGATGCTCTTGACAGAGCACAAGCTCGACGCGGTGACCTCGACGGACGAGGTCGACCCGACCACGTATTCCTCAGACGCGTTCAAGCGTGGAGAGATCGGCGGCTATCTTTACTTCATCAACGAGCGCTCGGGGGCGCCGATGGTCGAGGAGGACCCGCTGTGGGTCGAGCCCAACGATGCGTATGCGCGCTTCATTGCATTGATCGCCCAGCGCTGCGCCATCGGCATCAAGTTCGCCAAGGCCGGCGTCATCATGGCCGCGGAAGCCACGACGGTCGGTGGACTCGCGCCATTCCCGCTGCATCCTTCGGTCATCGCAGCCATCGAGATGGGCTTTGAAGCGCTCAAGTGCGCGATGGCGATGCCGGAAGAAGTCGAACGCTGCGAACGAGAGCTCGCCACAGCGTTGCGCAGCCGCTTGGCCGCGACCGACACCTACGGCGAGTACCAAGGTCTCGTCGAATATGTTCGGGAGGACGGCGAGCACGTCTCGGAGCCCAAGGAACACCGCACGACGCCTGTCACTACTGCCAGCATTGCGCCATCGACAAGCCGCGAAACGCCCGAAGACGCGTCGGCTGCCGAGACCAAGGTCGCCGACGCGTAGCACGCCAGCTACCATTGCATTTCAGTAGGAGGATCGCTTTCGTGTAGTTAATTCTTCATGGAATCGCGTGCATTGTCATCAGAGCCTGCTATTTCTGCGCGTGGCGTCGGAATCGAAGCGGTCGATCGTCGACATGTACTAGGGCGACAGAAGCAAAAGGCCACCGCTGCTCTCAACACGTCGAGATACCGAGCATCAACATAGACGACCATGCGCAGCCCTCTGTGCACGCGCTCCTTGTAATACGGCGTGTTGCGGAACTATCGAGTCGACGCGAATGACCCTATCCACGGCGATGAGAAGTTGAAGACGCTACGCTACGTGATGGTCCTTTGCGTCACCGGCGATGGGCACAATCGCTCCCTCGCCGCCCGGTAGCTTACTCATAGTGCTTGTCTCTGGCAGCTCAGGCGCAGTAGCATGGTAGCGACGCGCTTCCGTGCGTCGCGGCCGAGGAACGTCCGAGACCCGAACGCTCCGACGCTTCCGCGCACTTGTCTGAGTGCAAAACGGGCAGCGCCAAGCTCTGCAACATCTGACATCTCCACTGCACCAAGCTGTGTTTGTTCTTCTCCACCACTGCGCGACTGCACCGACTGCGCAAGCGACAGCAAATGTCGAGCCGACGGCCGACCAAGACACCATGCGCCGCTGTTCGTCGAGCGTGAACGGAGCGATGCTCGACTGTCGCCGGGAGCGTTCGGCTCATCTGAGAAGGCGCCCGAGCGCAAGCTCCATGTCAACGACTTTGACTCATTGGCAACGGCGAAGGTCATGTTCGTGCGCGGCGCGACCGAGAAGAACGCCACATGCTTTTTGCAAACGTCGACGGAAGCAAGTCCCTACGCAAGGAAAGAAGCGAAACGTCGTTCATGTGAATCGGGCCAAGTCGACGCCACGCTCCTCATCGCCATCGACTACCTTGACCATGCGGAGCGCCTTCGTCACCGTCGCAGCGTCCATGCGGTGCAAGGCTTCCACACCGGCGATCGGCCAGAGTCCGTCCCAGTAGCGCGGGTTGTCGAGGAGCGTCTTGGGTCCTTTGAGGGCGTCGTCGGGCACGGAGGAAGCAGAGGACGTCCATGGGCGCATCCATGGACGTGATGACCTCATGGACGATCGGCGACAGCTGCCATGGCGGCGTCGCCGCCCGCGCGCGCTTGGCCTCGGTCATGCTGATGCTGGCTGGAGCTTGCCGCGGTTTCGAAATCGGTGTGCGGAAATGGTGTGAAAGAGATGTTAAATGGTGTGAAATCGTGGAAAACCGTGTGAAAATGTATCGGTCTGGAAGTCGTCGCCCGCGGCCCCGAGCGCCCGCGCCTTGCGGCTCAGCGCATCCACGAGCGCCGCCTTCTCAGCGTCCTTGGTCTTGCGCACCTTGGCGGCCGCCGCGTCGTTCGGAAGCAGCTTGAGCCCGTAGTGGGCCGCCAGCGCATCGGCGTCAATCGCTGCGAGCACAGCGTCGGCCGCCTCGACAACCTCGGCGTGCGCGTCGTGCTTGTAGTGATGGAGCCGCGCCTGTTGCAAACTTGTTGTAGCACGTCGAGAGGTCGGTGGCGCTAGTACCTGGAGCAGGGGCAGGTGTGTCGGGTACGTCTCGTTGAGCACGGTCCAGCGGTCAAGAAACGCGTCTTTGCCCTGGAGCTTGACAACGCGCGCGACAAGAAGGTCGCGCACGGCGTCGTTCGCGAGCTCGTCTTCCGAGCGCACGTCCTATTGCTCCATCAGATGCGATTTGCGTGTAGAGTACTACCTCGGGCACCACCGCCTCGGGCTCCTTGACCGGCGTCGGCGCCGACGGCACCGTGTACGTCAGCGAAAAGCCATCGGGCTTTTGCGAGACACTAGACTCATGTCAACAATCATTGTACAATCGAAACGATGGACGATACCCCTTGAAGTGGTTGTGCTTTTGGCCGTACGTGATCGAACCTGCCAGCGTGTCGCCGGCGGCGAGACCCTTGGGGAGCTTCTCGAACGCCGGTTCCCCCAAAAAGACGGTCGAGTACACGCCCTTCTTGAGCGTCCTAGTCATAGA